TTACTCACGGTTACTGGTGCAAGCAGCAGCTTTAAAAGTGATTTCTAGTGCAGGTGGTGGCTTTATAGGGAGATAGTGCTCCAGGAGCGAGAGCTTCACCTTCCTAGTTGGGCGTCGCCATCTTTCTGGGTCCTCACTTTTGTCCTCACTGTTAGGAAGTCTCTCCTTCATTCCCAGTGGCTTCTCTCTCTGATTAGTTTCCAACCATTGTTTCTTATCCCGCCCTCAGGTGCTTTAGAGAATAACCCCTCTTCTTTATGGCATCCCCTCAAATACTGGAATACTGCTATGATGTCACCCCTAATTCTTCTTTTCTTTACACTAGCCAAACACAGGTTCTACAGCCATTTTTCATATGTTTTAGTCTCCAAGCCTCATCTTAGTTGCTTAGGCTGTTTTTCCAAAGTCTCAATATCTTTTTTGTAGTATGGTGACCAAAATTGTTTGCAGTATTCTAGGTGTGTGGTCTTATTAGGGTTTTAATAAAGTGGTATATAGGGCACTTATTGACAAAACATGAACATATCCCAGGAAAACAGGAACATGTAAGAAAGGAACTCAAGATTGCCATGTTGTGATACTTTTTGATATAAGAGAAAGAAAGGGAAAATAGTGTCAGGTTTTACAACATAGACACCCTGAATCAATAAAATAGAGTTCTAATGTTTATTGTAAATTCCATTCCTTCATTTGGCCCTCATCAGAGGACAGACAAAGAGATGTGATGAATTGAGTTTTGTGCTTTTGAGTAAGTCTTGCTTCCTGGTGATTCCATGAACAAGTCCATAGAGTTTTCCTAGCAATATTTTTCATCAAGTGTTGTTATTGCCTTTTTCCTAGGACTGAGAGACAGTAAATGCTCCAAGTCACCCAGCTTGGAGGGGGTTGAACTAGAACTCACAGACTCCCAGTTTCTAGTCTGATGTCTTAACCAATACACTTAACTGGTTATTGATGAAATGTTAAATTTCTCCATTAGTAAAATTAAAACAAAGGGTCATTTGGACACTTTTTCATAAAGAAAACAGGTAAAGAACTTAACAGATCTGAGCTCCTTGAATCTGGATAAACACTAAAAGATGGTTATGGTTATACTATAAGTATGGAAAAGAATTTCCAAATCTTTTGGCTAAAAAACAACTTGATAGTTGCAGAAAGTAAGAAAAAGAAAGAGAAATAATACACTTTAAACCAAATGAAAAGAGAGAAACATGATCCTTGTTAAAATAAGCTGAAGTTTTGTGAAGTATAGAACCAGTTAATATTTAACAACAATTGTTCATTCAATATTGCTGTATAAAAGTTGAACTTTTGTCAACCAACATTTACACTGAGTAAATAAAATATCATACTTCCAAAACAATGGATGCGACAATAAGTATAATTTTAGTCCTGTACCTTTACAGTTATCATTTTGCAGAGCTGATAGATTTTAAACTATTTGTCTATTCTCAAAAGCCAAAAAAAAAAAAAAATAGTTCTAGCAATCGAATCCTTAAATACAGGTGAAACTCGAAAAATTAGAATATTGTGCAAAAGTTCATTTATTTAAGGTGAACCTAATATATGAGATAGACGCATTACATGCAAAGCAAGATAGTTCAAGCCGTGATGTGTCATAATTGAGATGATTATGGCTTACAGCTCATGAAAACCCCAAATCCACAATCTCGGAAAATTAGAATATTGTGAAAAGGATCAATATTCTAGGCTCAAAGTGTCCCACTCTAATCAGCTAATTATGCCATAACACCTGCAAAGGGTTCCTGAGCCTTTAAATGGTCTCTCAGTCAGGTTCAGTAGGAATCACAATCATGGGAAAGGCTGCTGACCTGACAGTTGTGCAGAAAACCATCATTGACACCCTCCATAAGGAGGGAAAGCCTCAAAAGGTAGTTGCAAAAGAAGTTGGATGTTCCCAAAGTGCTGTATCAAAGCACATTAATAGAAAGTTATGTGGAAGGGAAAAGTGTGGAAGAAAAAGGTGCACAAGCAGCAGGGATGACCACAGCCTGGAGAGGATTGTCAGGAAAAGGCCATTCAAAAGTGTTGGGGACTTTCACAAGGACTAGACTGAGGCTGGAGTCAGTGCATCAAGAGCCACCACACATAGACGGATCCTGGACATGGGCTTCAAATGTCATATTCCTTTTGTCAAGCCGCTCCTGAACAAAAAACAATGTCAGAAGCATCTTACCTGGGCTAAAGAAAAACAGAACTAATCTGTTGGTCAGTGGTCCAAAGTCCTCTTTTCTGATGAGAATAACTTTTGCATCTCATTTGGAAACCAAGGACCTAGAGTCTGGAGGAAGAATGGAGAGGCACACACTGCAAGATGCTTGAAGTCCAGTGGGAAGTTTCCATAGTCTGTATTGATTTGGGAAGCCATGTCATCTGCTGGTGTTGGTCCACTGTGCTTCATTAAGTCCAGGGTCAATGCAGCCGTCTACGAGGAGATTTTGGAGCACTTCATGCTTCCTTTCACAGACGAGCTTTCTGAGGATGCTGACTTCATTTTCCAGCAGGACTTGGCACCCGCCCACACTGCCAAAAGCACCAAAACCTGGTTCAATGACCATGGGATTACTGTGCTTGATTGTCCAGCAAACTCACCTGACCTGAACCCCATAGAGAATCTATGGGGCATTGCTAAGAGAAAGATGAAAGACATGAGGCGAACAATGCAGAAGAGCTGAAGGCTGCTATTCAAGTATCCTGGTCTTCCATAACACCTCAGCAGTGCCACAGGCTGATAGCTTCCATGCAAAAGGGGCCCAAACCAAGTACTGAGTACATATGCATGCTTATACTTTTCAGAGGTCCAATATTGTTCTATTTACAATCCTTGTTTTATTGATTGCATGTAATATTCTAATTTTCTAAGATTGTGGATTTGGGGTTTTCATGAGCTGTAAGACATAATCATCACAATTATGACAAATCATGGCTTGAACTATTTTGCTTTGCATATAATGAGTCTATCTCATATATTAGTTTCACCTTTTAAGTTACATTATTGAAATAAATGAACTTTTGCATGGTATTCTAATTTTTTGAGTTTCATCTGTGTATTTCATCTCAATAGCAAAGCAATTGAAAAAAAGAAATCTTTCTGGCCTCAAATATGAGAAACACTGTCTTATTCTACATCAAAACAAAATGGCTGCCTAAATATTGATGTGACAAAATAGGAATTATTTGGACTGAATGTATTTTTATAGCATATTGGGTTTTTGGAAATTTCTCTAGAGCTTCTGGGGAAGAAAGACATATTGAACACAGCTTCATGAAAAGCAGAGCCAACCTTTGCAGCAAAGATTGGTTCTCTCTGATTGAAAAGAGGATGTGAAGCTAAAGAGAGGTCCAAGCTGCTCTCCATACAAATGTTTCCATGAAAAAAACTGCATGAAAGCAGTGTTTTAATATTTGAGAGGCTACTACAAAGAGGGGGTCAATCTATTTCCCAAAGCACCTGAAGCTAGGACATAAATGAAAATGGATGGAAACTAAACAAAGAGAGATCAACCTAGAACTAAAAAAATTCCTTAGTAACTTCATTTAATGATCCCCAAATGATGATCATTTGTTGACATTTACCTGGTAGTTGTTAATTTTGATACAAATCCACACCTCTTCATATCTCAAAAATGAGGCTCTACCCTGTATGTATATGATCCAGTGATGGGATTCAATTTTTTTTTACTACCGGTTCTGTGGGCATGGCTTGGTGGGCATGGCAGGGAAAGGATACTGTAAAATCTTCAGTCAGATGTGGTATTTGCCAGTTCTCTGAACTATTCAAAATTTCCACTACCGGTTCTCCAGAACTGGTCAGAACCTGCTGAATACCACCTCTGATATGGTCTCATTTGTGGTATTTATAGGCAATTATTTCAGCAGATAATCAGATACCTTTATGCATATTTTCAAGCTCAAGTTCCTTTCTTGAGTAAACCTATAAGAAACAACCCCCAAGAAGAATGAAATATTTTGGGAAATATTAAAAAAGGCAGGCTAGAATATTTCCCCAAAAGGAGAAATGGGAAAAAATCTTAAGGGAGGCAGAAACCAGCACCAGTCTCCCTTCACCCAAGCAGAAACTGAGGAGGCCAGCTTTTACAAATGCAGATTCAGTAATCCATTCAGAAAGACTGGGTCAGTCAGGAAACTCCAAATAAGCAATTAGAAAGCCAAAAGGATTGAAAGGATTAACTTAGAAAAGCACCTAAGGTTTGCATTTCCCATTTTGCCTGTAGAGCCAGCCATGGCCCCATAGGAATCAGAATAGAATATTAAAGGCCATGTTCTTGCACAGGAGCAGGAAGCTCAAATACAAAGCCCAAAGAGGGTATAAAAACCCACCTACTTTCAACTCTATCTTGTCAGCTGCACCAAAATCATAAACCCTGGTGGTTCTGCTTCATTAATAAACCTTTCTTTCCAATCAGCCTCCATGTTATTTCCAGCATCTTTCTCCCAGCTTGGAACTGAACCAGATGGATTTTCCTTCCAACAAGCCCATGAAGATACAACAGGGATCAAAGGCCATGAAATAGTAAATCCATAGGCTTTGGAGAATATAGATTTTTGTGAAATTCTTACTTTAAATTTCAATACTTTGCACCTTTTTCTTGTGTAGTTAGAGAAAAGGTAGGTAGTGCAAAGATAAACTCATTCTCTCCTATTTCTTTGCTTAATGTTCATGATGTTCATTCATTCTAACATTGTAAATAATGCATTATTTGTTATTTGTATCCAATGTCGTACTCAGTACACAGGTTTGCTAAAAATGAAGTTGCTGCCATAAAAAGCAACTTTTCAATATAAACATATGAATGATGCCTGCAGAAAATCATTACTGGAAATCTGGATTCTTTGAAAGAAGATGAATTTGCTGATTAAATGTTGTGGCTGGAGGAATCCTCTTGTTAAAGATCACCCTATTTTTAGGGACATTCATTTTGTCCCAACTTCACCTCTCTCCTCAAACAGAAGGAAAGATGGGAGCTGAGAATTACACCATCAGCAGAGAATTCATCCTGCTTGGGCTCACTAGCCATCCCAAAACCCGGCTGTTACTTTTTGTGACTGTTCTCCTTATCTACTTGCTTACCATATTTGGAAACACCCTGATCATCATATTGGTTTGGGTTGATTCTCAACTGCATACCCCCTTGTACTTCTTTCTCAGCCATCTTGCTGGCATGGAAATTGGGTATGTTACTAGCACATTGCCACAGATGTTGAGTCACCTTTTGAATGGAAATGGGGTCATCTCCTTAGTGCGTTGCATTCTGCAGGGTTACATGACTCTGGCTATGGGTAGTACTGAGTGTTTGCTATTAGGAGCCATGGCTTACGATCGCTACTTGGCCATTTGCCATCCATTGGTATATGCATTAGCCATGGACAGGTTGCGCCAACTCTTGCTTGCTACATTCTGTTGGACCGTTGGTTTTGTGTTCTCTGCAATTTATGTCCTCTGCACCTTTTGCCATCCCTTTTGTGCGGTTGTCATCAACCACTTCATCTGTGAACCACCTGTTGTGCTAAAACTTGCATGTGGTGACACAAGAATCACCAAAATAATTGGTTTTGGTCTTTCAACTTACATTGTTCTTGTTCCCCTTTTTGTTATCCTGACTTCCTATGGGTACATTTTGAATTCTGTATTGCACATGCGGTCAACAGGATGGCACAAAGCATTCTCCACCTGTGGTTCCCACCTTGCTGTGGTAACTGTTAAGTTTGAGCAATGAGAGGCTGACCAGAGCATGAGTGCAACAGTACTTTATTTAACAAATAAAGGGCTGACCGTGCTTGCCACGCCTGGAACTGGCTCGCAGCAATTAGCAACCAGTTGGACCCCGCAGCCTGCTTTTATAGCTGGCTGCTGGGGAGAACCAACCAATGGGAATGGGGGAATATCGCCCACACAAAGTGAGTGGATCTGAGTGAGAACTCCTTGAGTCCTCAGTACATAACAGTAACCTTGCTCTATGGCACTATTATCTCTATGTACATTGTCCCCCAGTCAGACTCCACCCCTGATCGTGACAAGAAAATTGCCGTCTTTTATCTTATAATCATTCCCCTTCTTAACCCCATTATTTATACTCTAAGGAACAAAGACATCCACTTGGCAGCATTCAAAATGTTGAAAAGACTTTGAAGAATATTCTACATTTTGCTGAATTAAATGTTTTTAACTTAAGAAGTGGATATTGAAGTTTGATGGAAGGTTGGAAAATGTTAAGAGAAAAACTCCTCATAAGAAAATTAAAATTTCTCACCTGATGTTTTTCAAACAGGGAATATCTTGCAACTGTCATGTACCCTATAATTTGCATCAGAGTGAATGCAAATGTGCCAATATCTAGGGTAGGTTTATTCCTCTGTCTTCTTCAGATGGAAGTCTCATAAAACTCCAAATATATCTGTCCACACTATAGGGAAGAACATACTTGGTAAATTATGACATCCGCCATTCTCCCCCCACCAAAAAAATAATCTCTATTGTTGAATTATTCAAGAGTAGTCAAGGTGGTGACTCCAGTCCTTGTATTCTTTCATTACGTTGAAGTACTGTCAGAATGAAAATGTTGATTCAGCAAGCATTAACATATTTTATTATGGTTGTCAAGATTAAGGAACTAGATAAAAATTGAAAGCCCACAGGAGAATAAAAATATCAACCATGATTTATGCCGTGGATTATTATAGTAGGGCAGGAGAAAAAAAAACACATTAATATATCTAACACAAAAAGAACAGGAACAACATAGGCAACAAATATGGTTCAAATTACTTTTGATAACTTTTTTTAAAAAAGAAAACAACTTCCAGTTCTACTACTCCCTTGATTGCTATATTTACCTAGATCTCCAATCTCAAAAGATAGAATATCTTTTCATCTTCAGTTGCACAGAATTCAGTTATGCAGAATTTTTGTGATGACATTTCTAGCCACTTCACATGCCAAAGAAAAGGAAAGCAGATCTATAAATTATGAAAATGGCATCATAAATTGTAGAATCTCCATAAGCGATCATTCTACCTTTTATGTTTATAGTCCTGCTGTCAAAAAAATCTCTAGACTCTTCATGAGAGCAAAGCTTTTTCTTCTACAAGCCAAACCCCTTGTTGTGACACTATTCTAACTAATCCACCTTTCCAATTTGCCATTTTGAGCATGACCACCAAACTTAATTACTTTCTTAAAATGTACAGATCCTTGCTATGAAGCCAAGTTTTCTTTTGTCTGAATATGTGGGCAGGGGTGGGGAGATATGTAAATAGAAGAGTTTTTATTTCCTAACTTACTCTATGTTTTCTTTTCTTTCCACCCTATCGCTATTAACCTTGCCATGGTCTTTCATTTTCATCATATGTTATTAACCGGTATCATTTTGCTGAAATTGCTGAAGCCTTTATTTGTTAACAGAATGTTTGAAGAAGACAACTGAATTTAAGTATATGCCAGATCCAGCTGGTATTTTATCATCTTGTTAATAATAAAAGAACATAAGAAATGTTTTTTTTCTTTGAGATCAAGATACATTCTACCCATAGCATTACCAGAGTATCAGACTATGATTGGTATTAAAAAAAGGAACTAGGCTGATATAATTTATTCATCTTCCTTTATTGCCTCCACACCCCCAACTATGTTTTGTGGATGTTTACAAACTCTCTGTACAATGAAATGTTCTACAGCAAGGGTGTCAAACGCAAGGCTCGTGAGCTAGATCCGGCCTGTGGGGCCACCTTGAAAACAGCAAAGGACCAGCCCACAATGCCTCTGCCAATGATAACAGAGCTTGGGAGGGCCGCACGCCATTCTCCTAAGCCAGGGATAGGATTCAATTTTTTTAACAACTGGTTCTGTGGGCATGGCTTAGTTGGTGGGCATGTGACTGGGTGGACATGGCTTGGTGGTCATGTGACTGGCTGGGCATGGCCAACTCAATATCACTCACATAGAGGCATGCATCTCCTCACCTGGCCTCTCATGACTGTGGGGATGCTGCAACAGTTGTAAGTGTGAAAAATGGTCATCAGTCATTTTTTTCAGTGCCATTGTAACTTTGAATGGTCACTCCACACAAGCAAAGTACCAGCAAAGGAGGGGAAAAAAACTCAAGGGAAGAGACAGGAAGTCTAGTCCTGCCAAAAATGTAATAAGGGTTAATGGAAAGGCAGTTTCTGTAAGCAACACCAGAATGTTTCCTTCCTACCTTCCTTACAGGATTAGGCTGGTAATTTCTTCTAACAACTGGTTCTCCAAACTGTTTAGAATGTTAACAACCGGTTCTAGTGAATAGGTGCAAACTGGTAGAATCCCACCTCTGTCCTAAGCTCTATTTTTTTCTCCAATGGCCCCTTGCAAGCTTCTGCCAGCAAAATGGAGCTTGGGAGGGCCATGCATGGCCTTTCCAAGCTTCATTTTCACTGACAGAATGCTTGGGTCACCACAGGCACCCCAACACAAGTGACGTTGAGGTGGCCATGCCCACCCTGGCCATGCCCACCTGGATCACCCCCAAGATCAAACACAACCTGATGTGGCCCTCAATGAAATCGAGTTTGACACCCCTGTTCTACAGCATCTTACATAACAACACAAGAGACACAAACCTATATTTTCTCACATCCAATTCTTCCTCTTAGATAGAACAGGATAGAATAGGCCTACATTCTACTGAAATAGCATATTCAAGCTATGAGTCAATTGCCTTTTCAATGAATCAAGAGATAATGGCTGATTCCACCACAAAAATGCTATACTCTGAGTCACACTGTTTCTCATCTATATGATAGCTCAGAGAAAACTTAACATGTACCCTGAGACAGTAATAAAATGGAGGAACTATTAGAGATAGCAAGATAGTTAACAAGAAGCTTGGAACTAGACATCACTGTTTGGGAAATATAACCACCTAGCAGAATGGGAACAGACTGTAAGGAGTCCATTATCACAAAAGAATGTGTGAATGAATTTTAATGTTTGGGACATACATGTACATTATAGAATTAGGTTTTCATACAAATGGTTCTTCATTGCAGCTTCATAATCCATCTCTCCAATAAAGTATCGTAATTACTCAAATAAAGTCTCTGACTTCCAGTGAGAACACCAGGTGGCTGAGAAAGAGGGAGAACCTCTAAAATTGAATCTCTTCATCAGGATTTTTTATAGAAATTTAAACCAAGGCCAGGATGCTTAAGTAATAATGGAAGCATTCACACTTTATATTCTTCTAAGGCTCACAAAACAGAAAACCTGTGGTTTTGTATCTCTTTCATCCTATGCACAAGGCCACACAAGACATTCTTTTAACATTTTAAGCTGCCCAGTGGTAAAATGAGCAGTGAATAAATTTAATAAATAATAATAACAATACTGCCCTATCCCCCTAAATAGATCTCCTAAATAGATCATAGTGACTAAATTAGTAGACCAGCGAAATACTATATAATATATTTAGTTTTCAGCAAGGCATTCGACAAAGTAGACCACAACCTATTTTTTGGTAAGCTAGAAAAAAATGGATTAGATAGCACCACCACTAGATGGACTCACAACTGGCTGACAAACCATACTCAATGAGTAGTCTTTAATGGGTCTAAGTCTACATGGAGGGAAGTAAGCAGTGGGGTGCCACAAGGTTCTGTCTTAGGCCCAGTACTCTTCAATATCTTCATTAATGACTTTGATGAGGAAATAGAAGGGGAACTTACCAAATTTGCAGATAGGTAGAAATAGCTAACATCCAAGAAGATAGGCTCAAGATCCAGATAGATCTTGACAGACTAGAACAGTGGGCCGTATGTAATAAAATGAAATTTAATGTACAGAAAAGTAAAGGCCTACACTTAGGCAAGAAAAACCAAAAGTACACATATAGACTGGGTGAAACCAGGCTCAATAGCAGTAACTGTGAGAGGGATCTTGGAGTCTTAGCGGACAGCCAGGTAAATATGAGCCAGCAGTGTAGAGAAGCAGCCAAAAAAACTAATGCAATCCTGAGTTGCATTAACAGAGGGATACAATCGAGATCAAGTGAGGTACTAATACCATTCTATAAAGCCTTAGTAAGACCACACCTAGAGTACTGCATCCAGTTTTGGTCACCACATTATAAAAAAGATGTTGAGACTCTAGAAAAAGTACAGAGAAGAGCAACCAGGATGATTAGGGGATTGGAGACTAAAACATATGAAGAAGGGTTACAGGAACTGGGCATGGCTAGTCTAGTGAAGAGAAGGCCCAGGGGAGACATGATAGCAGTCTTCCAATATTTAAAAGGCTGCCACAGAGAGGAAGGGGTCAAGCTATTTTCTAAAGTGCCTGTAGGCCAGACAAGGAATAATGGTTGGAAACTGAACAAGGAGAGATTCAACCTAGAAATAAGGAGAAACTTTCTGAAAGTGAGAACAATCAACTAATGGAACAGCTTGCCCTTGGAAGTTGTGGGAGTGCCATCACTTGAAACTTTCAAGAAGAGATTGGATTGCCATTTGTCAGAAATGGTGTAGAGTCTCCCACTTCAGTTTGGGGTTGGACTAGATGACCTATTAGGTCCCTTCCAACTCTGATTATCTGTTATCTGTTATCTGCCTTCCATAACAGCAGATGTAAATGTATCTTCCCAGCTACATAAAACCCTTTTCTATTTCTAAAAAGTATTCAGGTCCTTCTTTGAAGAGTAGGGTTGTGGACTAGAGACGAAGTTCTTGCCTCACAATCAACAGGCTGTAAGTTCGATCCTAAGTAGAGGAGATACTTCTTTCTCTGGGTGCAAAGACAAAATATCTGCTGTGAACTCTGCATAGGCACCAGGAAGGGCATCTGGCCAGTAAATGCTATGCTCTATTCAATCACCTTGACTGTACCCTAATGCAAGCAATTACAGGGTCATTAAAAGAAAAAAAAGATCCTTCTTTGAAGGAAATGCGTGGTTCAGAAAAGTGAAAAACAAGCAAACAAATTCAAACAAGCTGTTGCAGATATACTTCTTATACAACAGGATCTCATTTTAATGAATAACATGGTTGTTTAACTCGTACAAGACCAATCTCAGCTGACTCTCTCATTTTCAGTGTAATTTATTTGAGGAAAAAAAGTACTTTTCTTAAAAAAAGGCTTTTGGAAGGACAGGTATATCCTTG